GTTATGGGCCTTTTCAATGTAAAATTATTTCCCAACTGGCCACCTCCGAACTGAGCCTTCTGGGTAGAATTAGTGTGAATTCAGGGTTGCAGATTAGGGACAGGTTGGGAGGTGAGAACAGAAAGGGTGAAGTAAAGTCCATAGGATCTCAGGGCTGGAAGGGACTTGCCAAGTTGTCCAGCCTCTGCTTGCATTCCCTTAGTAACAGGGAGCTCACCACGTTACCAAGACAGCTTGTTAGCCCACTTCATCCTTGGTTAGTTCCACTGGCTTAAAAAGTATTTCCCACGTGGATCTAGATTCCATCTTCCTAAAGGTTCCAACTAAAGGTACCAATTCAAGGTCTCCGTTGGTCACTCTGTAGAGAAGTAGAGCCAGCTCTCCCAGGGCCCATGAGCCCTCTGTTCTCCTGGACAGCATCCCCCTCCCCCTGACTAAACACACCCTCTGAAAACACAGGACTCACCGATGCAAACTCACTCTCATAGTCAGCTCCTAACAGGAACCTCCCTTCACCTCCCAAGAAGCCTTACTCACACATACCAAGCCGCAGTCTGTCGACTGGTTTTCTCAAGGAATGGAGGGATTTCAAGGCTGCCTCTCCCCGTCTGGAAAGAAAAGCCACTTCACACAGTGAGTGGTTCATAATGTAAAGTGTTCATAACTCCCAAGAAATAGTATGGGCAGGAAATAGAAACAGCTTCCAAATATTTGAGACAGATTTATGGACACTGAGTCACAAATGGCTGCCGTATACTTCTCCTTTTGAGCTAGTTTGGTGCCAGACTACCTCTCTTCTGATGTTCAAGGACCTGTCTCCAGGTCGCTTCAGTTCCTTGTCTTGACCTCCCGCAGTGGGCTTTCTGCTGACCAAGCCCGTTGACTCACAGACGTAGCCGACCAAAGCACTCAGCCAGGTGCAGATTTTGGGCATTGAAATGGTGGAGCTCTCTCCACAGCTTGCACTGCTAGTTTTTCTCTTTGTTCTTGATGACGAACTCTCTACTGTTTATACAGTAGCAGAACTCACAGAAGCATAACTTACATTTCACAGCCTCCAGAGTGGACTTTACATAAACACGATGTTTCTGTGAGGCTGGCTTTATCTTCCCCCTAGAATCTGTCGGTAGTGCTTTGGAGTATTCAACTGGGCCAACTGTGCAGGGGTAGGGAGTGGTGTCACAAGCCTTCCCTAACCCACCATCTCTGACCTGCACCCCAGGGCATGCACATGAAAGGAATTCATCTTCTTGGTTTGGAAAAGAAGGGGATGACATTAGTGGCGAAACCTCTGTGTCGGGTTCTTGCACCGCAACTCTGAGTCACAGCTTACATCCATCAAGCCCTCACTCTGAAGAGGCTCCGGGCTAAACCTTCACAACCATTGTCTCAGTCATGTTACTCACCCTGTGCTACAGAGGAGACAGTGATCTTCACAGAAGTTAGTTCGTGGAGGGCTTTTCCCAGCCCCACCGTTGGGAGAAGAGGGGCAGGGCTGAGCCAAGTCTGACTGGAGTCCTGCTCACCTTCCCCCAGGACTGCACGGGCCACCTCGCCCAGCCCTCATGGCAATGCTGAAGGCAGGTGTGATTCTCACCATTTTATTACCCAGGGGGAAAGGGAGGCACCAGTGGGAAAGGGAGGCTGGGAGCGGCAGTTTAATAACCTGTCCAGACCTCACAGCTAGGAAGTGGCCAAGGCAGGAAGAAGCCCACCAGCCTCTCAACACCAACAGAATTCGTTCCTCAGAAGGAATGAGGGAGGGTAGAGGGGTAAGCACATGGCATTTTTAATCCTCCTGTTGGACTGGTAGCCTCTTAAGGTCAGGGACAGTGTCTGATTCAGCACCCCACCCCCTTGGGCCCTCAACTGGCCCCACTCAGGATGTCACAAGGCCCTGTGTGCTACTGAAGGGGGTCCTGGGGTCGGTGACAGGCAGACCACAGCCTCTGGCCTGGAACGAGCAGAGAGGGGTTGGCAGGCCCATCCAGGCTGGGGGTCTGAGGAACTGTGAACGAGGCTGTGAACAGAGACCGCTGGGGTCCAGCAGGCCTGGCCACAGAAGGGAAGCTCTGCACAGTGGAAGGCAGGACTGGGTGGCAGCCCCGGGAGCAGGCCCCGCTGGCCCCTGGCAGGAGCCCTCCATGGGCCTCAGCACGACACTCCTAGGCTGGCAGCTGAGGCCTGGTTCCCGTGATCCCTTGATTTGTCTTTTCTGACCTTTCTTCACAGAGACCCTAGGAAGCCTGGGGACCCAGAGCCTGCCAGGGGAAGTCATACTCTCATAAAAGAGCTAGCCAGCAAGAAACTAGAACCGTGGACATGTAAGATAGGCACACAAGTCGCGAGTCCTAAGACGGAAGCAAGCAGAGGGTGTGACAGAATACTGAGGGGACCAGGGAATGGCTCTTCCAGAGGAGACTTCTGAGTCGGAGACAGGAGCAGGGGAAGGATCGGCCATGGGAAGCTCTGGCAAGAAGGCATTTTTGGTGGCGAGCAATGCAAGCGCAAAAGCCCTGAGGTGTGAAAAACATTAAAGAATCTGTAGGAGGCCAAGGCGGCCAAGCAAAAGGAGAAAGAGGGACTCCGGCAAGAGATGGGCATTTCTCAGGACTGCAATGGCAGGAGAAAGAGATCCCCCTGAAGGACGTTCTAGATTCAAGCCCCTGCCCTGTGGCGACCCTGCCAAGTGGCTGGGTCAGGATCTTCCCTGTCAGGCCCAGGCCTCGTTTGCATGATGATGGGGGTAGCTTCTCAGGGTCCGGGCTCTCCTTCCCCATGTTCTCCTGTTCCCCCCATTCCCATCACCCAGATTCCGGGAGCCAGGACTGGTGTCTCCCCCACTGGAGGTTGCCAGAAGGTCTCAGGACTCCCACTGCAGTCCCAGGACGCAGGGGCTGGGCGAGAGGAAGGAAATTCTCACACAGCTTTCTCCCAGGGAGTTTGCTCTTGTTCCCAGGCTGACAACTGGCAACCCTCAGAACTCTGTTCCCCACCCCCTTCCTCCTCCTCCTCCTCCTCCTCCACCTCCTCCTCCTCCTCTTTTCCTTGCCTCCCTCTCTCCCCTGCCCCCCTTCTCAGGCTTAATGACTTCCACATGGGCCTCTGGCGGCTGGAGCCAAGCCTCCCAGCATTGTCTGAAATCTCCAAATTTAGAAGAAATATGAAAATTGTCAACCACTCCTTCCTTAGGGGGTAAAAGCAACATTCTGCACCGGGGGCAGGTCAAGGCGAGGTAGTCACGTGGGGGGCGCCTGGGCCAATGGGGGGCCCTGGGAGGGCTCAGCACCCGCCTCGCCCCAACACGGGGCTCGCCTCTTCAGCTCATATAAGGTAAAAGGCAGAGTGGCCTCTGTGGCCAGGGAGCCGCAGGCAAGGGACTAAGGGGAGGGGGGCTCAGTGCCAGCTGCTTAAAAATGCCCCTGTGGCAGCGAGGGGCACCAGAGGCTGGGTCTAATTAGTTGAGAAGCAGTGACAACCCCAACCACTCACCAAACAGGCTGGTTCCCATCTCCAGGCCCCAAGGAGCCACACCTGGACCAGATCCCAGGAAAGGTAAGCACCAGCAGGAGACCTGGGATCCGTGGATGGGGGCCTCTGGGACATTTCCCCAGTGGGATGCTGCATCTGGGGGTCTTGCTCTCTTGCTAACTGACTCTGTCCCTTTCTGGACACAGATTCTCTGGGTCTCAATTTCCCCATCTGCACAGGGGCTGGAGTCAATGATCTCTAAGCATCCATCCAGCTCATCGGCTCTAATTCTGTGATCCTGTTGGCTTCTAGGATTCCTTGTTGTTGTAGTCAACTGGGGGAAGAAGGGGCAGAGGGAGCGGACAGAGTTAACATCCTATCAGCCCGAGCTTCACCACGGCGCCCGAGTCTGGGGCAGTCTCCCTGGCTTCTACATAGGCAGTGCTTCTTCCTCATTCTATGGGGCTTTGATTTTGCAATTCCGAGAGCTTGGGGCTCCCGGCAAGGAAAACGGTTTTCAAATAATGGTTTCGAGAAACAAAGCTGGGGAAGAGGCAATGTAAGCTCAGGCTCTGGCAGGCAGGCAGAGATCCTGGGAAGGCTGGGTGCTGACTGCACATGGAGCAGTGGGAAGGGATGCTGGCGAGAGAAGACGGGGGCACTTAGGCTCCGGCCCCAGCTCTGCTCTCAGTGCCTGGCTGTGTGGTCTTGGGCTGGCCCCTTCCCCTCTCTGGGCCATAGTTTCCCCATCTGTATAGTAAGGCCATTGGACAAAATGATTCCTCTGCAGATGTGGCTTCTGAGTTGTTTGTGCCTGAGGGACAGCCAGTGTTGGGAAGTTCCCCCAGGAGATCCCTGAGCCGAGTCTGCCCTTTGACCACAAGCTTGGAGTCCAAGCAGATGAAGCCCTGTGGGAGCTTTTGGAATTTGAGCCTGAGTGAGGGAGAGTAGCTGAAGGTTCTGTGACTGAAGGCTTGGCCAGAGGGGTGCCCCGAGCCCTCCAGATGAACTTGACTGCAACCAGCCTCTGGTGGGGAAAGGACTGATCTCTGGATTCGACCACACAGGAGTGCAGGACGTGGAAGTAGGAAAAGGATGGAGAAGACAGCAGAGGGCTTCAGAGGATGAAGCGGTGGGACCAGGAGATTCAGAGAAACGCAGGAGGCTTGTGATGGGAGGCAGGGCTGGGTAGAGGCAGAGGCTTAGGTTTGGAACTTGAAGATGTACAGACGACGTGGAGTCGGGCTCCTCTGAACACGCTCTGGCCACGTCCAGAGCCCAGAACAGAACACAGTCCTCTAGCACCGGCCTCTGTCAGGTACCCTCACCTTCCTGCTGCTTGTCACACAAGGCCCAAGGCCAACATGGTACAGAAGGAGGCTCTGAATTCAACTGCCTGGATCCAATTATGGCTTGTTTACTTAGTGGACAAGTGACTCTGGGCAAGTTGCTTGCTGTGTGAACCTCGGCTTCCTCCTCTGTAAAATGGGTACAGTTCTGAGATTGCATGGTCGTCATGAGGAGTGAAGGATGAAGGCACATAGAGCAGGATGAATGGGGCTGATGTGACATCGCAGTCCGAGCCCACACCGCCTGCGGGCAAGATACCCTGAGCTATGTTGAGGGACAAGTGGGAATGGAACCCAGCCAGGGAATGCCCAGAGTTGCTGAAGGGCTCTGGAACAGGCTCTGGAAAGAGGCAGGAGGAATCGAAAGTCAGAGGCTGTGGGACACAGGAAGGTGATCAGCTTGAGATGCCTGAAGGACGGGGGAGTCTCCTCTCCTGCCTTTCTAGGGTATTGTGTGAGCAATGTATCTGAACCACTGCGCACTCACCTGCTGACAGGGGACCCCGGGCAGGGCCTAGGAATCTGCATTACGAGCTCCCCATGAATTCCCATGCACATGGAAGTTTGGGAAATGCCAGGCTGTCGGGCAGCCTAGGACTCTCACAAACAGCCGAGGCAACGGAAGCCACAGAGAGAAAGCACCACTTTAGGTTATTTAGCGAGCTGATGGCAGAGCTGGAACAGAACCTGCCTCTCTGCCCAGCCAGGGATTCCATAAGGTGGTGCAAATCAGGAGAAATAGATTACACTATTTGTGGAGTTCTTGTGACCTCCAGGCATTACCTAAGATCTTCACATGAACTAATTCATTTACTCCTCACAAGAACCACTGAGGAAGGAGCAATTATTATCCCCACTCCACAGATGAGGTACCTGAGGTAAAGAGAGGTTAGGTGGCTTACCTGAGGCCACACAGCTCATGAGTTGTTAAGTCGTGTGTGCCAGCCGCCCCTGGGGGTGCTAACTCCCCCAGGAGTCTCCCACCTCCTGCCCTGCCTCTTAGCTACCTCAAAACTTCCTGGGGACCCTCCAGCAGACCTCATGGAAGGGGGCAGAATATGTATGGGAGACTTCTGGGAGTCAGACACTGTGCTCAACAGCTTGCATTACCATTTAATCCGCCCAGGATTCCTGTGAGGCAGAAATCAGCATCGTTCCCTCGCCCTCACTTTCTAGAGAAGGAAGCCACTGCAGCTCACCCAATGTCACGCAACTAAAAAGCAGCCAAGGGGATTTGAACCCAGTCTATGCATCTGTAGAGCACACACTCTTGGGCTGCCCACCCCAACACCTCTGAGGGCAGTAACGAGGAATCCCACCTCGCAGAGGAGACGGAGGCCAGGAGGGAGGAGGCTCTGCCGGACCTGAGCCCAAGCCTTCTAGCTCTGAGGCCACTGCTCTTCCCTTCAACCCTGCGGCTTCCCACAACAGAAAGTTTATCACTGGTCCCTCCCAGCCCTTTGGGCAAAATCAGCCCCTTCCCAGCCTGGCGATTTCTAGGGGAAAATGACACCCAACACCTATCCTTTTTTTTTTTTTCCTTTTCTGAAATGAGGTCTCGCTCTGTAAACCAGGCTGGAGCGCAGTGACACTTCTCAGCTGACTGCAACCTCTGCCTTCCAGGCTCGAGCGATCCTTCCACCTCAGCCTCCCAAGTAGCTGGGATGACAGACGTGTGCCACCACATCTGGCTAATTTTTTGTATTTTTTATAGAGACAGGGTTTCGCCATTTATCCAGGCTGGCCTCAAACTCCTGGGCTCAAGCGATTTCCCCAACCTCAGCCTCCCAAAGTGCTAGGATTACAGGCGTGGGCCACCGCACCCAGCCAACACCTATCCTTGAGGAATAGAAAGATCCAGGCTCCACACCACACACCATCACTGACTCAAGTGGCTGTGTCTGATTCCTGGGTGAGCCTGAGGGTTTCGAGGAGGTAATCTCTGAGGTCCTCACTGCTGGGCTTTTCCTGCAATTTTCCAACTAAACTCTCCCAGGGGCTCAGCACCATGGGGTGGATCAAAGAGCCGTGATGAAGGCTGGTTTGAATTGTCATGATGACCATTTTTGTCCACATCTCTTGGTACCCATAAGCCAGACTTTCTCTGGAGCTTATACCTAGAAGGGGTTCTGGGTCCTGGGGTGCAGGCCTGTCAACTTTACAGGAGAGCACAGGATTGCTTTCCAAAGTGGCTGAACCAGGTATGAGCGTCCCCATCTCCTTGACCACACTTGAAGTCATCAGATTCCTTGAAGCATATAGGTTGCACACTTCATTTTGCATGTATCAAATTTGTGTAATAAAAAATGTAAGGAAGCCATGGAAATAAAAACATAGGTATGCCTTCTGCAGGCTGCTATGCTCCTGTGCACAAAGGTGTCTAGAACTTTGCCCTCCACGCACAAGTTGCAGAGCACCCTCATCAGGACATTTACGAAGGCCCTGGGGTGGGATGGGAACTGCCTTTGTGGTCCTTCCCCAGTCCAGCAGTATGCAGTGGCCAGGGTCCAATCAAAGGTCGCCTGGGAGGGTGAGTTGCAGGAATTTGGGGGAAAGAGCCCAAGGTGGCTGCCGCCTGCTAACAGCTTGTCTAGACAGGTCCCATGGGGCTTCACCGCACATTGCGAGAGCCCTGGCCAGCCCCCTGCCCACTTGCAAAAGAGGCTGTTGGCAACAACACTTCACCACCAGAAACCTTTACTCCAATTCAAAACACTCCTTAATGCACAGTGTGAATGACCCTGTCTCATGGCCCACAGAGGTCCACTCATTCAGGCCCCCGTTTGTTCAGATGAGGAAACTGAGGTGGACTCCGAAGCCTGGAGGCTTTCTGAAGTGGAGTGAGTCTCTGTGCCCAGGTGATGAGGGGACCAGGCAGGTCTGGAGCAGGGCTGGGTAGGGCTCAGATATAACAGGCTGGCAGTTAGAGGTGCCAGATGTGAGCCAGGCTGCTGGGTTTGAATCCTGCATCTGCCTCACAGCAGCAGTAGGACCTCAGGCGACTTACATAGGTACACTGTGCCTCAGGGACCTCATCTGTAGTATAGAGATGATTTAAGAGTACCTGTCTCATCGGTCTATTGAGTTGTCTGGATTAACTCACTAAATGAGCTAAACCTCATGAAGCCCTTGGAACAGTGACTGACACATAGTAAGTACTCAATAAAAAATAACTGCTAAGACCAGGCATGGTAGCTCACACCTGTAATCTGAGCATTCTGGGAGGCCAAGGTCGAAGGATCCCTTGAGCCCAGTATTTCGAGACCAGCCTGAAGGTCAACACAGGGAGACTCTGTCTCTACTATAAATGTTTAAATTAAATTTTTATAGTAATAACTGCTAAAATATGATTACTAAAGACAGCTTCTTCACAGTACAAAGAGATGCTCTTCTGGGCACCAACTCTTTGGACTTTGGGGGATAAAGTGCCCTTATTCCCTCAAAAATATCACCTGCCATCTATCAAGTCCTTTCAAGTACCTGGACCTTTACCCAGCACTCTGAGGTAAATACCATTATCCCTCTGGGCACACAAAGGCTCAGAAAGGTTTAGTCATTTGCCCAAAGTCACACAGCCTGTACGAGGCCAAGTTGGGACTCAAACTCAGTTCTGACTGATTCTAAAATCATGTGTTTAGCTGCTGCACTCTAGGACCACCCGCAATGGGTCTGTGAACCAGAACTAGCTCTGGTTCTGACCTGCCTAGTAGGGCCTTTGGCATTTGGGGGAGGAGG